GAATTAGATCAAATGGTGGGGTTGTTAGGCCGTTCCGAAATTTCAAAAGGGTTCTAACTGTCTTCGAAAGAGGACCAAAAGAAAAGTCGGTGTCTGTTTACTCAAAGTATGCATAATACCCAATAAACGAGCGTAAGAATAAAAGAATGGTTACATTTCAAGTGACAAGTGCCTGTGCGGTTGTGCTTGGTTACGTATTATTATTTTTAGCTTGAGGCGTTCAGCAAGAACCAGAACCTACCCAACCCCAACTCCGGCCCTGCAGCCATTATTTCACAGTTCAGAATTTCATTTAACCTTACACCAGTCGAATTCATCAGCTTCTGATAATTATTTTATATAATACCTGGTTGCTTGTTCGGGTAATAAATCAGAAGTCCCGTAACATAACTACCGGATAAGGCTAACAGTGCAAATTTCACGTCGTCTCTTTGAGTGTGACCTGATTGTACTGTTTACTTCGCTGTTGAGTTTGCGGTCAATAACATATTGCTACTTTATTGGTACGTAAAAGCAATTCTAATGTGAGCAATAAATGTTCAACATGAACTATAAAATTCGATTTTGATTTGCTTGCTGCTTCCTCAGCTGCATATTTCATGGTCAAGGTCATCGGTGTATATGATTGATGTTACACGCTAAAACATGCCACTGAAAATGAGTAGGTTTTCCACGACAATTGCAAATTATGTTAGTCGTAGAAAATATATGCATGAATTGAGAAAGTACAAAACGCACATTTAATTACATATTTATAAAAGACGCCTCCAACACCGAGGCAATTTAATACCAAAGATGTAATTAAAACGTGATACAACGCTCGGAAATGGTTTCTCAATAATTATCATACATAAACGTTATAGAATTTTATGTACCAGAAAAAATATTCCCGATTGCTAGAAATTTGCAATATCTACACATTTTATCTTAACCGGGTATTAAATTGAAATATTAAATATTGTAAACACCGTACATTACAAGCTCACGGTTCCCGCATAATCATAAACGCACTAAGTATGTACAATTTCTTGCAAACTAAATTTCTGATTCAACCAATATGGCATATACAAATGCATATTCCGATACAATTTTGGTATGAGTCTTAATAGTCTATTTCTGTACATAGAGCTGTGACACTAAGCTGTTCTGTTCCACAAGCTTCAGACATTTTTCTTCAGTAGCTCAAAATTATAAAAATAAGAAGCAAGCTTCCAAACTGTTATAAGCGCTGTAACAAAGTATGTCAAATCGTGGCTTACCACGGAAAATATCTGAAGAGAAAGCTGCTGTCATATAATAACAGCAAGCAAACAAGGGTCAATAATGCTGCATTATTATGGCGTTATGACAATATACAATTTATCCAGAATGTAATTTTAATATGGCTGAGAATGACGAAGAAGATGATGTAACAATTTTGAGAGAAATTTGATTGAAAAGAGAACTGTATTGTACTTGATGATGAACATAACTTAAAATTAGAGTGAAATATTTTTAATTTAATTTTAATTTTGGTCTATGCGGAACACGTGTAATAAATATGATTCTTACAACAAATATGCGTGCGCAGCATTGTTTGACGATGTGTGTCAATGTAGACGTATCCATGCATTTAATATCGGATTTCACGCGCCATGGTGTTCTATGTAACTATATATTTTTCCTGGTCACAACCAAAGCTTATGACGTGTGCTTCAGGTAGGAAATTGAATCGCCACCTTGAGAATAAGCAGACGTTCGTACGAGAAAATGATTGTGTATAAACCATGTATTAAGAAAAACTGAAGTGTAATTGACAAGTTTCCCAGTGTCATATAACATGCACATTTTCTAAGCAGAGAAATAAAATATGATGTCTTGCCCTAATAAAGCGCCTTGGTTCAGAGAGATAATAACGATGCACGCAAGGTGAAATTTTTAATTCGTCTGCTCTAGCTTAACAGGTGTCTCATTAGTGTAACAATATAAACACTGTTTCTTATCTGTGTAATATCACTTATTTACCTGCCAAACATCTGGCAACTGTTTTATTCCTCAGAAGCTACCGCCATTTAAGTAAACGAACCGCTGATGTGGTCATGATCAAAATATCTTAAAAGTTAACTCTCTAGAGAGACTCGTCCCATTTTCATCTAAAACTCCTAACGAAGCAGACGTTCTAGATACGCGCTTTTGACTAGTGAAGTTGTAAAATGTATAGAAATAGGTTGACATTTGAATTAAAAATAGTGATTTTACACTTTTTTAGGTTTTGTTAATTTATTTGTTTTAATTATTTTATAATATTAGTTTGTCTTTATTTTTGGTTTCTGAGATCAGTGTTCGCTGATTTCCTTTCGTGTATTAAAACCAACACTATCGGGCAGGAACTTTAATCGCCACCTTGAGAATAAGCAGACATTCGTACGAGAAAATGATTGTGTATAAACCATGTATTAAGAAAAACTGAAGTGTAATTGACAGCACATCTGAAGACCATGGATTTGATTATTTTTGTACATGCCCCTTTTTGATCTGTGAGATATTTCAATGCTGTATTGCCCACTGGCATTACTAAATTAGGCTTCTGTTTCGACGTTTAATATAATCAACACAACAAAAACTACCATGTTTTGCCAACTCATGTCGAGTAATAGGCATACAATATTAAGTGCAAATTATTAATGATAGTGATATGGGGACAGCGAAAGGTAGAAAAGAAAACGGTACATAATAGTACACACACACATACACATACACACATACAGACACACACACAACTATATATATATATATATATATATATATATATATATATATATATATATATATATATATATATATATATATATATATATATATATATTGATAATTATGTCGGATCTTCATAACACAGTGGGAGGAAACAAAGAATAATGTACATAACAGTTTGAGTTTACATGGGAAAAGAATAATTTGAAAAATATTTATATAAACTTACCAAAGCTAATTTCATGTTTCAACATATGTTCAAGTTAGCAAATCACTACATCTTTATGTATCAACATTTGTTCGAGTAAAGCAATCAATAATCCGTTTTGTTTGGATGCCACTTATTTTGATTTTGTTGTCTTTTTTCATCAAAATATTGACAATAGAAATGACAGTGAAATTAATCACATCTCTCTCTCACTCTCTCTCTCTCTCTCTCTCTCTCTCTCTCTCTCTCTCTCTCTCTCTCTCTCTCTCTCTCTCTCTCTCTCTCTCTCTCTCTCGCTCTCTCTCTCTCTAAAGTACAAATAAAAATATGCATAATTAACGCACAAATGCAGTGTTCATTCAAAGGACAATTTTAGTCATATTCCTTTAAGTTTAAAGTCGTAATTTTAACAGTCTCTTTGCAATCATTTTGTAGCAATATTATAGACCAACATATTACATATAAGCCAATACAAAAATCCATATACATCTTTTTAACCAAATGACAGTTACTTTAGTGTCATAAAATGTGTACTATCATCGGTTTCATTGTACTTAGTCCTAAAACACATGTATCGAAAAATCAAAGAGGCTAATGATTCTTCTTCTCTTTAACAAATGACACGTAAACTTTTAGATCATTCTTTCGTTGAAACAAAGTTAACAAAATTAGCAACGAATCCGAGAATTTGTAATTCAAATAATGGATTTGTCTGTGCAAGTTTACGTATTTCTTTGTTAGAAAGAATGTCTTAGGTAACAATGTGTTCAAAAAATAATCTGTGGTGATCAAAGGCAGAATTTTAAAAAATCTTAAACGTTGTCACGAAAGGATTATTTGCAGATCTGAAGTCAAACCGGTAATCCCAATGGATGTACCGTATTCCAGTCAAGGGAATATTTTCACAATTTTTCATTAAAGTCAGATCCACATTTATTTGTTCTCTCGTGTTCTGCTTTCTTTCACTTTCTTCCCTAATGATTCTTAGCGCACGCTGTTTTAATCTGAAGAATTACATTTTAGTGCAACAAGCAATGAGGTTTAACTTGTGGACATCTTGCCGAGTTCGATATAATCATGTGAGAGCATGCGAGATTAGGGGAAGCTACTCTGTCACGACATTTATAACATTCTCTATGCTAGTCTGGTTCTCTGCTACGTATGCACAGTATAGCGGAGTGCAACGCAGGGAGCATACAAAATAGGAAACCAGAATATTCCTATGTTCGAAGTATTCACGATACCATCTCTAATAAAACTCATTGGATATTAAATAAATGCTGCTTGTATTTTGCAAATACTTTGCGTCAAAAATAAAACGCACGGCAAAAAAATGTGTGCGCCAGTTTTCTCCAGTGTGCATAAAGAAAAACACACACACACACACACACACACACACACACACACACACACACACACACACACATATATATATATATATATATATATATATATATATATATATATATATATATATATATATATATATATATATATATATATATATATATATATATATATATATATATATATATATATATATATATATATATAACTGGATTTACCAATGGAAATAATTGTGAGAATTCACTGGTGTTATATATGAGTTGTGTTGTTTTTTTTTACTGGAGCGTCTATAACCGGTTCAAAACCCTGCGCTTACTTTATTCTTCTTTTTTACGTGCTATTTTACCTTGAGTTAAAAGGAAAATTATTATACTGCTTACAATGTACACAAAACACAGTAGAACATAAACAGTAAATAGCTGACATTATTGCGTGGGATACGATAAAAAGAGTCTGCTATGTCAGCCTGTTATACATTTTGCTGACCAATAAGTCTGAAGATTAGAAAAGTTGCTTTCCGCTAGTGAATAACGGGATTTTCTTAAACTAGAGGGTGGACATAGTTCATTCCGTGGGTGAAAAACTTTAACATTTATTCCAATTTCCATAAGCGAATATCCTCACGAGTGGCAAAATATGTCGTTTGGACGTATCCCATAATGAAATATAAAATAAATCTGGCATTTATGTGGGAAAAGAAACATCTTTAATTCACCACTCCGGTGGCCTAGTGATTATAGCGCTCGCCTCGGATGTGGGATGTGCGGGATCAAACCCCGGCCGAGTCACACGAAAATCAAAAATATGATACTAACAGTTGCCTCGCTTGGCGCTCAGCATTAAGAGGCCAGTGCTAGAACTGGTCGGCTTGGTGTCAAGATAATGTGACTGGGTAGGACATCGTTCTACATTTCTGTGGCATGATGGCCAGTGCTAAACATCGCTATAAACTGCCATAATGCATATATCTTTGTTATATGACTAAACAAATTTTGTTGTTATTGTCATATAGTTTAACGCCACAGGATAAGCTATACCTTGCGACAAGTATAAATGGTGAAGAACCAGGCAAACCCCGGGTAAGAATCACCGATCCACAAAAAGCTACTGGCAATCTTTCTCACGTACCCTCATTAGCCGAGCCTGAGACTTGAACACAGGAAGAGAGAGGTGAGATGGCAGTGATCCTTAACAGTGAGAGCTTTAGACCACTCGGCCACTGGGGGGCTTCTTATCAATTGTTAAAGCTACGTTAAAAAGCCAATCTCTCTCTCTCTCTCTCTCACACACACACACACACACGCACACACACGCGCGCACGCACACGCACGCACACGCACAGGCACACTTCTTTAATTATAAACAAAACTTGCTTCTCAATTAAATCTTTTGTGATGAATTCATTCCCCAACCCAACATCATTTACGGAAGTTCACATCAATTTTAGTCGCATTTATTGAATTGAACAACAATAAATATTCTCCTCACCCGCACCAAATGAAATGAACAAAAAAAACCCCAGTTATCAGAGAGTACTGTAGGTCTGTGATGACCTAAACTGTTCGAATAAGTTACGTTTCTGACATTTTGTAAATTATTGTTCGCATTCGGACTACAAAATCAAGTCCAACAGAGAAATGCAAGAAAGAAAGGTTTTGAAATTGTTGTTAAATATCTTAAAGGGACATAACTTGGTAAAGAATTAAACGGTGGCGAATCAAATATCTTTGAATGTTTGTCTGGTATACAATCTTTGAAAAAAGTGTAAACGATGATATGAATTTTATTTGAATTAAATCTGGACTGTTTTAAAGTGGAACGGCTGCACTCAGGTTGATGAGCAAAACGCAAATTCGATATATCAGTTTCAATAATAGTTACTGACCGAATTAGTGACCTAATACAATTATCGGACATGCAAAGGTCAATCTTTTCTTCGTAATTGGACAAAATGGTACCGAATGATCGAACAAATTAAATTTGTAAAACACTAGCTACATCGATAGATTTCAGTTTAATTGCATTTCAGTCTTTGGGGGCTTTGCATGACCTAATTTGTACCGAGATTGATTGTGTCCACATTTAATGACTATATAATCATTTTTTCGTTCAGATGTACCATATTGAAATGGCTCATCCTGGTACTTTTGTTAAAAATGGATGGTTAGACTTTAAAGTCGGTCAATACATTTATCTGGTGAATTGGTAATAGCGCCTAGATCTTTGAGACATCCATTGATAATACGGTAATTTACTTCTTGGTAGTTTTGCGAAACATCAGCCATAAGAACTGACCTGTAATAAAATCATTTACCATTAATAAAGAATATCACATACATTTTCTTTGCTTTTATACAGATTGCATTTGCAAAATGAAATCTATTATAATTTAAACACCTAATTTGATCTAAGTTTGCAAGGAAATGGAATGTACAAGTAACGATAATGAAGCAAACGTGTTCATAAGACTTCTTAGTATATGAAGTACTTGCCCACATCTACGTACGCCTGAATCGGATGTATATCATATGAAATTACCAGCAGTACGGCTGAATCGGATTAATATGAAATTACCAGCCCTATACCTGAATCGGATGTACATTATATAAAATTACCAGCCGTATGCCTGAATCGGATGTATATCATATGAAATTACCAGCAGTACGCCTGAATCGGATTAATATGAAATTACCAGCCCTATACCTGAATCGGCTGTACATTATATGAAATTACCAGCCGTATGCCTGAATCGGATGTATATCATATGAAATTACCAGCAGTACGCCTGAATCGGATGTATATCATGAAATTACAAGCCGGACAAATTTTTCTTAAAGACAGATTATGAAAATGTCTGATCCATATGCAAGCTGCTATTTACTTGACAAAATATTCCGTCTCTCTGGATGTCTGTTTGTCTGTCTATGTCTTTTTCAATGAATATTTTTAATGATTTTGTTTTATCTCTGTTGGTCATGCATATTTCTCAAAAAAGCCATTAAACTGAAGACTCATTACCTGATCATTATTCACTACTGAGGGTCTGAACGTCCTAAGAAAAAGGGTCAGCACACCGTAACTAAACAGACGTCAAATGAACAAATTTTTACATAACAGAAATCATGAAATTACTAGTGCAATATTTGCCTTGCCTGTTACCTTGTTACGATGGCACCCAAAGTTCATGCTAAAATAGACACAACAGATCCGAATAACAGCATGACCTAGAATCCATTGGTCACAAACGTTGCAGTATATAAAATAGTTATTACCAACTTATTTCCTCTTGACTCCCTTCGTAAATGAAATGGCGAGTGTAATCCTGCTGGCATTTCTGTTCGCATGTAAAAATGACATTATAATTCACCTTATTATGTGACTGGAGAAGTGACAAGGTTGAAACAATATAATACTACTACTTGATGCATTTGTATTAGATTTGTATGTAACAACGGAATAAAACATAACAATCGACACAATCGATATGAATTACCTTGTTTTGCAACATGTATGCTATCTCGTAATACCTCGTTCATTGCATAATTGGAAGAGTAGAGTATTCAATATATGGTAACAAAATTGGCACATTTTTGTTATTATTTAATGAATTTGTAAACAATTGCTAGTTTAGTTACCTAATTATGTTGGTATTTATTAATCATATGATTGAAAACTTCGCTTCTATTATAAATCAGATTTTGTTTGTTGATTTTGATTTGGGGGATAGGTCTATTGGTCATAAACAAGAAAAGATTATTGGATGGAATTTTATTATTTACCTATATGTTGTCTGTTGCTCCGTTAGCACAAGTTTGGTATCGCTTTCTCCTTAACCTCTTGGTCCAAACTGATGTATTTGGACATCCAATATGGCCGCCAAATCTTGTTATCGCTACTCTTTCTGAGTACATGGTTATATCAGCATAGCTTTTTCACTCAAAGACTTCTTATGATGGCGCCGATTTGACATCCAATATGGCAGCCACAACGGTCATCTTGAAAATCTTGTTATCGCTATTACTCATGTATGGATAGTCATATGAAGATGGAGTTTTAACTGAAAATTCCTTTTGATGCGCAAATATTCATAAATGAAAATAACGCTGATCAAACGTCCAATATGGTTGCAAGGGCAGCCATCATGAAAAGATTATTGCCACTCCTTCTGAACCAAAATCAAAAAGGCAATAGGCTTTCACATAAAATACCTTTTATTATGCTCATTGGAAAGGTGCCAAACTGTCATCAAATATTGACGCACAGAGGACATCTGGAAGTGCTTGTTATAGCTTTTCCTTCTGAACATAAAGTCAAATTGTCATTAGGTTTTCACGAAAAGACTTTTTGCGATGTTCGGTTGGTCTTAAGTGGAAAGGCGCCGATCTATTATCGAAAATTGCCCGCTCAGCAGACATCTGGAACTTCTTGCTATAGCTAAAAGTTATATTGACATGGTTTTTTCACCGAAGGACTTCGTTTTACGTCCGGTTGGTCCTAAATAAAAATGGTGCCGATCCAGTATGATCGCCACACAGGCCACGTATAAAATTTTCTAGTCACTTGTCCTCCAGAATTAAAAGTCATACTGAGATGTTTTCAGCCGAACACTTTTTATGATGTCTAATTAGTCTTTAAAAATGTTCGATTTGATGTCTAATTTGACTGGCACAATGACCGGATTGAAAACCTTTTTATCGCTATTTCTCCTAAGAAATGGCTATAACAGGATTGGGTTTTCACTGAATGGCTTCATAGACTGTTTTGTTCATCCTTAATTAAAATGTCGCTGATCTGACGTCAGATATATGGCCATCTTGAAAATACTTTTGGCTATTTCTCTTAAAGTGATTTGAATTGGGGTTTTTAACAGTAGGGTTTGTATGGTGAATAGTTGGTCCTAAATGAAAAAATGACAAACCGTCAATATACTCACTATGGTAGATATCTAGAGAATACTTTCATCGATGGATGGCTATATGAACATGATGTTTCTATCAGTAGACTTTTTATTACACTTAAATGAGTCACAATTCTGCGACGTTTGCCGTGTGCTTAATTTATTTGACAATAGTGATTTACATAGTAGATATGGATGTCTAAAATGTGATGATAGTTAATTTATACTGTTTATACTGTGGATATAGCTGCATAAAATATGATTGCAGTCAATTTACATTATGGATATGGCTGTATACAATGTGATTGTAATAACATTACAATAGGGATATGGAGGTATAAATTATGATTGTAATCAATTTACACTAGGTATATGGACGTATAAAATGTGATTGTAATAAACTTACACGAGGGATATGAATGTATAAAATCAATTTACATTAGGGTTGTGAATGTATAAAATGAGATATTAGTCAATTTACATTAGGGATATGGATGCATAAAATGTGACGATATTAGTCAATTTACATTCTGGATATGAATATATTAAATTTGATTGCTTTTGTGTCACCTTTACCAGATACACCACAAATTCTTTATTTGTAATGGAAGGCCACTATTTTGTTTTCTTCTATCATATAAGTGAAACGTTATCGAGCTTCTAATTACACGAAGTTTATTGTATTGATGGATATTTCTGTCTACTTCAATTGATTTGTATTTTTAAATTAGTTTCATTACCTAGTTTGAATATGATTTTTTATTTTCTGTATTTTTGTTGAATATATAAATCTAAAACGTCTATATACAATTTTACTTGTTTATTTTGCCAGGTCTAATTACCAAATTAGTTTAATTATGTTTTACCTAATTGAAAGGATATATCAAATCT